CCCCCCCTTGACATGTCATCCAACGAGCTCTCCCTTCCCTCTCGACACATCATCTAACGACATCCTCATAATGACGCATCGTCCAGTCATTTGTCCTTTACAAGTCATCCACTCACAGCCTCCTCGCCACGTCATCCACTCACAGCCTCCTTGCCACGTCATCCACGCACAGCCTCCTTGCCACGTCATCCACGCACAGCCTCTTGCCACGTCATCCAATCCAGAATTGTTCCCACTTACAGTATTTCGTTATCACGGTGACACGTCATCCAATCACATTCCCATCATGACACATGCAATCACATCACACGGGAGACCACGTCATCCAATCATATCCCCTTGACACGTCATCTAATCACATTCCCTCGACACGTCATTCACTCACATCCCCTTGACATGTCATCCAATCAGATTCCCCCCCCCCCCGCGACACGTTATCCAATCACATCCCGGTGACACGTCATCCAATCACATTCCCATCACGACACATCCAATCACATCCCACGGGAGACCACGTCATCCAGTCATATCCCCTTGACACATTCCCTCGACACGTCATTCAATCACATCCCCTTCACATGTCGTCCAATCAGATCCCCGCACCCCCGCCCGTGACACATTATCCAATCACATCCCGGTGACACATCATCCAATCACATCCCGGTGACACGTCATCCAATCACGTGCTTGAACTGACGCGCGGGCTTACTTCACCATACCCGTGACACATCATCCAACGACATCCCCCCGGACACCGCCTCCAATCACATCCCCGCGCCACGTCAGCCAGCAGCATCCCGACACGTCATACAATCACGTCCCGTTGACACGTGGTCCAACGACACTCGCACATCCCCTTGACACGTCACCCCACGACACTCGCACATCCCCTTGACACGTCATCCCACGACACTCACGCTTCCCCTCGACACGTCATCCAACGACGTTCCCTTGATTAGATGACAGGGCATTCAATCAGCCATCTCCTTAACACGTCGACCAATCATCCATCTCTTTCAATTACGCGGTAACAGTGCAACGTGGCCTTAGGAGCGATACGTCTCAAAGCCATCCGAGTCGTCTCTAATTGACGGACAAGTGGCTCCTTTCCATGTTTCCCGCTCTTTTCGACGAGCACAGCACACGCTATGTCTAAGTCCTCTTCTTCTTCTTCTTCTTCTTCTTCTTCTTCTTCTTCCTCCCCCTCTACTAGCAGACACTCCTCCCCTCTTCCTTCAGCCTCCATATCCAAAGCATTCTTCGCCGATCGGGGTCGATAATCGCCGCCGCGATCCCGACCGACTCTGTTCCCGGCGACGAAACCAATCAACGCTGCCTGCAGAGGCGAGAGACTAGGGTTATACGCGGCCGACTCCATGTACGCGCCAGCGAAGATCCGCCCCCCACGTGTCATCAATCCCAATCCCGACGGACATCGGCTGTACGGCGCATAAGACACGTTCGCCGCTGACAGCGCAGCATCTAGAACCCGTTGAGTATCGGGATCGGGAGCAGACACCGGGCCGTCCTCAGTCCCCCCCACCACTGCCACGTCGGCATTCTCCATAGCCGGCAAGGTGCAGCTATGGCGATCGTCGTCGCCATCAAGCTTGGAAGAAGCTTGTTCAGACCGAAGGTCATCAACGATTTCAAGACGATTGTCCCGACTCTCGAGCATCAACGGGATACCATCAGGCAGCAAATCCCGCGGTACAAAGGCGCTCGGGAAAAGCCGAGACAACGGCTGCCTGGACCACCACTCCCCTCCTCCTCTGTCTCCTCCTCTGTCTCCTCCTCCTCCTCCTGCTTTCTGCATCTGCTTTTCATGCTGTACTTCTTCTTCTGCTTCTCCCTCTTGTTCAGAAGGAGGAGGAGGAGGAGGAGGAGGACAAAGTGGGACAATCAAGATGTCTAGCGACTGCCCCGCGTCGCGCAGCTCCGACAGGAATTGGCGGCAATGACCGCACGGAGCGGCGGAGACCGCGATCAGGCGCAGTCCTCTCTCGCCGTGTTGAAAAGCGTTGACGACAACAAATTGTTCCGCGTGCACGGTGTGGTGCAACGGCATGCCGGGGAATTCCAAATTGACGCCCACGAACGCCCGTCCGCTGATCCCGATCCCGACAGCGCCTACGAGGAAGTCGGAGATCGGCGCACGGGCACGACTGCGCGCCAAGATCATTAATTTCCTCAAAGCCTCTTCTGTCGTAAGCTTCTCCCTAGCGCATAAGCGCGCCAAGTCGTCCGCCTCCAGGGTAAAAAATGCCCTTCTTCCTCTTCTCTCATACGGTAGCAGAGAGACCTCTTGCATCTCCCGCGACAGAAGCGCTTCCCCTGACGATGGCGATGGCGATGGCGATGGCGATGGCGATGGCGATGACAGGGAGGAGACAGGGCCACCCGCCCTCCTCTCTGCATCTTCAACACTCTCCATAACTCCTCTCTCTAGTATCACTCGCGCAGTTTGCCGCCCGTGGGCCAAGCAACGAATTAGGATGCTCTTCGTCACACCTCCGGGACATCCGTTCAAAAGATAGCAACGCTAGAGACACAGAGAGAGAGAGAGAGAGAGAGAGAGAGAGAGAGAGAGAGAGAGAGAGAGAGAGAGAGAAGTAGGATGCACTTAGTCACCACCGGGACATCCTTTCAAAAGATAGCAACGCTA